GACAAAGCAAAGGGGGTCCTGCTTCTTCTCTGTACAACTTTCACATCTTGCTTGTTCAAGGTGGGCAGGTCAACTGATAAAAGAGCTAAGAATAGGAGGGGCAATACTAGAAAGAGCTTAAGCTGTTAGCACTCAACCCTCTTGAAATATACGGGTTGATGTTGACCCTATACTTTCTGCATACCAGCAGAGAAAATAATTGAGAATCAATCCTCGAAGCACAGACAAGGATTTTCCCGAAAGGTGAGGACCTGTATGAAGCCAAGGAGGCATAAGCAATGGAGAAAGGGAAGAATTCACAAGCAAGATCTGAGTTTTGATGTTGAGTGTTAAGGACATCCGGTGGATTCTGTACAGCATCCCATAAACCTTCCCTACGCAGGAGTAGACTGCATTTCATAGACCAGGAAACATAGTTNGGAATAGAATCATTAAAAAAAAAAGAATGCAAAAGTAGGAGCAGAATGAAATGTGAATGACAACAATTAATGAAAAATATTTTAAATAATTAAATTGAATTGTTCAATTGTCCCACAGTGAGTTGCCCTGCAGCGAGTTGGCTGTGATGAATGAGTTGGCCATGATGAGTTGGCCATGATGAGTTGGCCACGCTGAGTTGGCTGCAGTGAGATGGCCATGGCAAGTTGTCCCATTCTGCTCGAAAGTGTGCAGAGAAGAACAGCAAAGATGATAAAGGGTCTGGAGGCTAAATTATAGGATGAATGGTTGCAGGAACTAGGCATGTCTAGCCTACCAGATAGAAGGATCAGGGAGGGACCGCTTCCAGTATTTGAGTGCCTGTCACAGAGAAGAGGGGATTGGCTTATTCTCTAGATCAGTGATGGTTAACCTTTTTCTAAAGGTGTGTCAAAACTGTGTGTGCATAAGCTATTGCATGCGCAGGCGTGCCCACCCACCTGCACATGTGCAAACGACCCCTCCCACTGCATTCTAACCACCTCATTCCAACCTATGGTTCCATGTTCTACATCCCCATCTGTTTCCATGTGCACATAGACAACTTTACTAGCTGAGCATGCTCCAAGGAAGGGAAAACAGTTCAACTAGGTTTACAATAGCAATCCACAGTGAGTCAAGGTTGGCATCACGCATCTGTTGCATCTTGTAGCTTCATCCTACATGTACATTTCCATTGGCACCCGTAAGGAAGCCCTGGAACTTAAAACGCGAAGCTTCTAATGTGTATAAACAATAGGCACCCAGCTAAAAGTGAGTGTGTCCTCGTGAATTCTGCTGAGCGTAATTTGTAATGGAAAGTTAAGTATTGAGCTAACGCCCCTGCAGCTAATGTTTACAGAATCTTTCAAAGAATGAGCAACACTTTTTAAACGATACTGAAAGAACACATTTTTTGCCGATTTCAAATCTGCTTCTTTTGCTCTGCCAACTTGACTGTCTTAAAAGTTGTGGTTGATTAAGACTGATTAAGTGGGGAGAGAGGGAGGGAGAGAGAAAGGAAGGGAAGGAGGGAGGAAGGAAGAGTAATTGCATTATAGAGAAATGTTGCTGACATAGCAGGCCATAAGAGACAAAAGGATAGCAGGGCATTGTGTAATTGTGTTAGGATGCTTAATGCAGGTAGATAAGGTGTGCCTTTAAGACGACGACATGATGCTCACCTTCTCATTGGCTCCCCTTGTGATCTCTTCCTAAAAGAACATCACACTGGGATCTGGATCAAGGACTGTCCCATTTCCTCCTGGGCTCTAATCGATGTCTATACCATATTTTTCGGAGTATGAGACACTCCAGAGTATAAGACGCACCTTAGTTTTTGGGGAGGAAAATAGGGGGAAAATATTCTGCCTATTCCTCTGGCTAGCGTCCTTAGCCCGGCCAGCTTTAGCACATTAGTTCCCTGGTTGTGACCTGAGTGTGCCTCATTGGGGTTGAAAAGCAGCTTCTAAAGCACAGCTGATCATCACAGGGAGTTCCCGTTAGTAAAGCAGGTGAAGCACGGAAGCAGTCAGACAAGGTGGCAGCTATTCCGGGTTGTCATTTTGGACTCCAGGCCTCACGTTTTCAGCCTCCGAATGCTCTGGTTTTTTTTTTAAAAAAATATATATTTTTATTCTTTTTAAACAAAA